ATGAACAGTTCTAGGGAAACTCTTCTTAGAGAGGAAGAAGAACAGAGAAAGAGACTGAGAACACCGATCGGCCTCGAGATTGACCAAGAACCAAGCCCGTCGGGTAAACCCGAACTTCTTAAAAGTTATTTAAACGAACCCGGAGTGACGATTGACTCACATGAAGATATGTCAGATGATAATGCGAGTGACTTAATGACACTAAGAGACCTCAAGGAGAAAACACTGCTCGAAACCACGAAACGAGACGAACCACTAATGCCCGACCGAACAGATCCTAAGTTAGAAACATCAGACCACGCCGACCAGAAGGTCGAGTTAGATGAGATTCCTTTGATCAACTTGGATTCCGGTGACAATGATAGAGACTCTCAAGCGACCCCTCAGCTGATCCTCTTAGACACTAGGGAGGAGAGTAATGAAGCGACCCAAGAAATGCCGGTACCTTCAGAGAATCCCGGAGTAAAGTTCCCTAAATCTACTGGAGATCAAACTACCATGGCGGAGATGGGACCGAAACAAATACTTTCTGACCACACTACAAAGTCTCAGAAATTGTCCGGTACTGCTAAAAGGAAAGCCTCATCCCCAATGAAATCACCACCCTCGAAAAAACTATCGGAAATTTTTAAACGTCAAAACACGAGACCCATGCGAACCAGGCAGCCCCCCAAGATGCTAGGTGAGAGAGTATTTACCAGTATAGTCGATCTAACTGAGGAAGACCGCGATGCCCCAGAATTCGGTTCACCTAATTTAGTCGCAGTGTGTTCAACGTTGGAAGCAACTACGGTAGAAAGCCATCATGTCGACCTAGTAGATCTGACAACATTAACACCACCTTCATCATCACGCCCTACCATAGTTCACTTGCGGGAAGATATCGACGCGTACTCAAGTGACCCAAAGCCCTCAAAAACAGACGATCAAAAGAGCCCAGACAAGAACGTCAAATTTAGCCCTGATGTTTGTTCCACGCGATTTAACCCATCGGGCCTATCTAATGAAATTTCAACTCCTACATTTATACCCATCGTATCTGACCCAGACTGGCTGAACACCTCCTCTATCATTTCGGCGATAGAACTCCTTGGACGGCCAATGACGCTGGAGGAGCTAAGAAGATGGACTATAAATAAAGCAGCAAATCGGGAATCTGATTAGACGCAGGAGCTCAAAAACAGATGTCATCATAAACATTCTCGACCTATCAAAACTCCATCGTAAAACTTTTAGCACCTATATGTTCTGTTTATTGTTTATCGCCTAACATTCCAGGACCCTAGGGTCATACAAACCTCCAGTGCTGTTATTTTAAGTTATTGTGATGATTGGTAACATTTATACCCTTGTTTTGGCCATAGAATTTTGCAGAATTCCATTAAAGTTCTGTTCACCCATGGGGCGTTACCATCGGATAACAATTAGATTTATTCATTTTGGTTATACCCAGTATTCCGCTTAATTTTACGACAACTTTCTGCATACCTTATGATCTTAGTCACCCTGGTGCTATTTCAGTTCCTTACTTGCCTATTGTCACTAACCTACAGTTATTTCTCGGCGAATACATATTATTCGATCTAAGGTGCTTTGTTTTGGAATTTTGTTTTTGTCTGACGAACATGCCGTCCGGCCCATCGGGCTCGATCATTGGTATTCCGCGTTTTGTACACCCACCCTTTACACCTGACAACCGTGTTATTCTTCTCAGTTTATAATACGCCTTTTGGGCCCTTTATCAAGTCGGTATTAACGATTCTAGATCCACTCTCGGGGGTCCTAGACAATGCGCCGACTGATTCATCCATCTTAGTGCTTAATCATTTTTGTTTTATTCCCTTCTGATGAGGCGAAAGGGATAGTTTAGAGATAAAATTTCGCGGGGAATGTAAAAGTATTATGGTTTGTCTATTTAACCTCTGATCTTAACTTACCGCCGACCTTTAGTTGTTAATTTATATACCTGCCAAAAGCGCATCGGCTTTTGGTAGACTCTGAATTGGACACTATCTTTTATGATACGTAACAAAACAAACGTAACCAATTCAATCTTTTAACACGTATTTTATCTTAGTTAGAATCCCCGTCTTTTATTTAGTTTTAAATAAAAGCCTACAATTTTAGTAGGAATCTTAATCATCCACCGTCTTAATCTATTCCTAGTTTAAGTCACTCTTTTACAACACGAGTGGTATCCTAAATTTTTAACATTTTTAAGTATAAAAAAAATACATTTTTTGCTCTCCTTGGAACTCTGAAATGACCTATTTAGGCAAAACAGCTCCGCTTGACTTCTTTGGCGCACGAGCTCTTCCCTCAAAGTTGGTTTTTAATGGCCCCAAATTTTTGAAAAACAGGACAAAAAGGCGTTTCTAGGCACTTTTTGGAAAATTTTGCGTTTTACGGCGCGCGCTCCCCCTCAAAATTAGTATATTTTGGCGCCCAAGGCACTTTTAGACAAATTTTAGGGCTAGTAAGCCAAAAATGGATGTCCCAAAATATTCCAAAGTCGAATCTCTAAAGAGAGGAGCGTCCGCCTCCCTCCCCCCTCCGCCATCGGAAAATTTTCAATTTATCTGAAAAATTACCCTCCTATCTTCCAGGCATAAGCCTTTATGCCCCAATTTTTTGATGAAAAAAATTAAAACTTTAGGAAAAGGAAATTTTTTAAGTTTGATTTTTTTTCGGAAATTTTTCATTTTATGTCATAAACTATCCTCCCAAATCTCGGACTCAGGGTTCAATAAAAAACAGAATGTGGGGATCCTCCCAGAATAAATAATTAGGTCCTAAAATTTTGTGCTTGAATACTAGGTTGCGGGGTTCTCCTGTAGAAGCGACTACGCACTAATTTTTGGCCTGTTTGTACGAATACCTAAAGTTTTGAAGTTTTTTTTGAGAGTGTTATACTTTTTTTCGGAAACTACCGAGTCAGTTCTAGGGCTAAAGCTTTAATCAAATATTGGATTGGGAAGATTACTGCTGCATAGAGAGCAGTGCCCATTTTTGGCGAAGTGCATTAGGGGAGTTTGACCGCCTCAATTATGGTGAAAGATTTTTTCGTTTAGAAACAATTTTGACAGCCTAAAAGATAGGATAGACAGAGAAGCGGTAAAACTTGTCCATAATAGTCATCAATTAATGCCGCTTAAGAACTAACGAAGCCTATTTCTTCGGTAGCTTTTAATCAGCCGAATTTTAGTCAATTGATATTAAGCCAAAGGTTTCAACTAATCAGTGTCATAATCGATTTAAAAAAATTAAACTTATGGGACAACCGATATTTTAATTGAAGCCTAAGTCTGACTGGGGCTGCCTTCTACTGCTGTCTTCCGTGTAAGAAATCAGCCTTATGCTAGTTACTACACTTAGTTACTACGGCATTTTTTTGAATTTCTTCACTTTTCTCAGAAATTACTATCCTAACTCCAGGCTTGAGTAATCACTTAAAAGTTGTTGCAGTCTTTGCCCCATGAGCGATTAGAGCTAATATTGGTTGTGGAGCCGCTATTTTTTGAGCTTTTGATCAAATTTCTGACTTTTTATCTCTTTCACCAAAAATTATCTTCCCAAACCAGGAAATTATGCCTCAACAAGAACTGATTCTGACAATATTATCTGCAAAATTAGTTTTTTCCTGTTTTTAATACAATTTGTCTTATGATTTTGACCAAAATTGGAGTAATCACAAATTTGGTTCAATCACAAAAACCAACAATGAAAACTAGCTCTGCATAAATCGAAATTTCCGCTAGCTCTGCATAAACTGCAATTTCCGAATGTTGGTGAGGAAACCACTATAAACTTGAGAAGCGTCGATTTTTTTAAACCATTTCTGTGAAATAATTTCAGACTTCTCAAAAACTTCCCCTCAAATCTGAGATTGATCGTTCAGTCGGAACATACACCAGCCTAGCGATTTGACCCTTTAGGAGGATTGCGCACTCTGCTTGGTAAGGAAGCCAATCTGAGCCAGGGAGAAGTTCAAAACTTGTTGCGAACGTTTTGGAAAAAAATATCCTTTTTCTCAAAAAAAATACCTTTTTTAATGTGAGATAAATGATCAATGGAAAGGACAGCTTATGGGAAATTCGATGTATCAGCTGTTTTTTTTTAATTTTGTGTTAAGGAAAGTAAACCACTATGAGCTGAGAGAAAACGGTTTCTGTTGCAACGCAATTATAAACTAGATTATAAACGCATTTGAAAATAAAAAAGGCAGGATGGCCAAGCGGAAAATTTTAAACGTACCCAATTTAGGAGAACATGTCCGCGTATGTTCGAGTCCCCGACGGGCCCATGTTTTAATATACTAAAAAAGGGGTTCTCATCCTATTTGACCATTTTTTACTGTTTTTTGGTTCGAATTCGGTTTAGCCTTGATTAAGGCTGACGGTCAAAAAGAGCGATTTGTCTCAAGGACAATCACTGCCGTCTCGTGAGTATGAGATCAGCCTGATGCGGGTTACTACACAGTTACTACAACAAGAAAAACTCCTTCTTCAGAATCATTCCGTTCCTTTTTTGGGAGGACCCAGTCGAAGTTGGCAATTTATGCTTTTACCAACACAGGTCAAACGCAGGTCCTATTTTGGAGCTCAACGTTGAAACATTAAGTCGATTCAGTCGAAACATAAAATCGAACTTAAAATGGAAACATAAAGACAAACACTAAGTCGAAACATAAGTCGAGTTGGTCGAAAGTTAATGGCGAACTCAAAGTCGAAACACTAGGTCGAAACAAAATCGAATCAGTCAAAGCATATTTTTTTTTGAATTTGACGGTCGCGTCATTGTTAAGTCAGTATTTTCAGAAAATTTTGTAAAAACATTTAATCATACCGAATTGAGTTGTTTAAGCAATTTGTCCACAAGAGAAAAATTAAAATATACGAGCTGCTAATTCTTCACTGAAAAGCATTATCGAGTATTGTATCTCTTGATGCGCAAATAGTTTCCATTTTTTCATAATTTTCTGAATATTTCAACTGTTTCAGAGTTCGATCAGTATCCTCGTGATGCTCTGCTCTCTTTACAGTCTGGTAGCCATTTATGTCTCCAAGGACTTGCACACTGTCGAGTTTTTCCTCATTGCTGTCTTGTGCCTCTTCAATCTCCTCATTCCTGGCGTGATGGGATTTATTGGTCACGTGATCGAATGTGTTCACGCCATATATTATGGCTGTGAATTTGTGGAGTATGAAACGAAGCATGGGCGAGTTAAAATGGTCCTTAAAATTTCAAAAGTTTAGAAAAGCTTTTTTTTTTTTCAAACAATCTTTTAGTTTCAGGTTGTTTTTGGCTAAAGACTTTCAATCGTTCGACCCATGTCACGGATTTATCAAGTAAGTTTTTCATTTTTTCTATTTCCTAGTTCAATTTTTTTCGTAAGAATCAATATCGCAAACTTAGCAGGAACTACTTCAGATGATGAAACTTCAAGCAAACTTTTGGAAACAAAATTCTAGTTCTCGCCCTATTTACCTAAAAATGCTCAAAACTTTTGATTCAAAATTTTAAGTCAAGTTAACTGAGGGATGTAAAGAGAAAAAAACCCTTTGTTATAAAATCAGTCAAAAATGGTAGTTGAAAAGTCAAAAACTGGCTGCAAAAAAAACAACCCCAGGTGAAAATATTCCGTCAGCTCTTTCTTCTAAATGAAACAAAATGGATAATAATACTTACATTGACCAGCGCTTTAGATTGGCAAGAATTGACTAATTCGCAAAAGCAAAATGTTTCAAAAAACTGAAATTTATTTATTTTTGGTTGAGGAGTATTCATTTTATCTTTGCCAAAAGATCCCTCGCCAATGAGAACCGAAATATTGGGACGTTTTCACCAATTCGCCCCTTCCGCAATTAAAGGTTATAAGAAGTTTAAAGAGTGAACCAGCTAGCAAATTTTCACCTTTTTAACAAATGTGCAAAAATTTAAGCCAATTGAGAACAATTGATAGTTCAGACATCAACCACGTTAGATGAAGTTGACCTGTTTTCGAATTTCGTAGAGATGATTCCTCCTCGCGCTATCAGGCAATGGGTAAAGCTAGTGGTCTCCTTCTAATGATTCAAGACGACTTCACCTACTGGACGACTATGGTGCTTGTGTTTGCAATTGCACTGGAAAGATTCGTCCTCTACAACTTACCCCATCTGAGAGACGATCCCAGGTAAAAATATTGATAACAATACAAGCTTCGCACCGTCCAAATCTAACTCAATTTCAAATCAAATCGGAGTTGCTAAAACTAGTAGCAACATTAAAAACAAATTTTGAATGAAATGAGTGTTTTAAAGCCCATAAGATCAAAATTAAGTTTTGACGCAATTGTAGATTTGAGAAAAGGATTCAGTGATTCTGCTCGACAATTTACTTGCATGGGAAAAATTGTGTTCCGATATGATGACGCTGCTACTCGCATTATAGCAGGGGCGGATCTAGGATTTTCTCGAGGGGGTGCGGATTTTCAAAAAAAAATTGAAAATTTTGTCAACCTTTTTTTCAGGTCGACCAAATTGATTTTCTGAGCTCTCTCAAATCACTATAAAGACTCCATTTTGACCAAATTTTCTGGCAGCAGGCAAATTTTTCAAAAAACCAGCCAAGATAGGAGTTTTTAGGCACTTTACTGAAAATGTTGACCAAAAAATTGCGGTTTTTCGGCTCGCGCTCTCCCCTCAAAACTAGTATATATTGGCAACGAAGGCGCCTTTAGAAAATTTTTAGGGTCTGTCAGCCAAAAATGGATACAAAATAGTCGAATCCCTGGTGAAGGGGCGTCCACCCACCCTCCCTCCCCCCTTCCACTAAATCCACTACTGCATTATACCATTATTATAGTTACAAACACATTTATGAAACATGCCTTCAAGCGAAGATTTCGGATCAAAGTCTGGAGATCAAAACTCAGCTGCCGGAAAAGAGGTTCACTTGTTGGCAGTTTTGAGGATTATTCGAGAAAATTTTACAGCCGAGAAAACCGCAAAAAACCGTTTTGAAAAAAAAATTAAGACCACCATAACCACGGAAAATTTGCTGCTGTAGTGTTTGTAATAGTTTGCATTGATCGAAAACCTGGTAGAAATCTTTGTTTTTGTGTATGTGTGAAATAACTTAATATTAATCATAATCATAATCATAAAAATCATAATAATAATAATCATATCAAGAAAAAACTCATAAGCATAATACAAATAATAATCATTATAATCATGATAATAATAGTAGTCGTAATCATAATATTCATACTAATCATATTAATTTTCATAATAATCATAATCATAAAATTCATAATAATAATCATAAAGATAATCATAATAATCATGATAATGATAATCATAATCGTAATAATCATAATAGTAATCATAATAATCATAATAATCATAGAAATAATCATCATAATATGAATCATAACAACCATTATAATAACGATAACCATAATAATCATAATAATCATAATCATAATCATAATCATAATAAATTAATCATAATAATCATAATAATAATAATCATAATAATAAAAATGATCATAAAATTATTAATAATAATAATCAAAATAATCATATAATAATCATAAAAATCATAATAATAAGAATAAGAATCATAATAATCATAATATTAATCATAATAATAATGATAATCATAGTATTAATCATAATAATCAAAATATTCATAATCATCATGATAATAATCATAATAATAATAATCATCTAAAGAATCATAGTAATCGTAATATTAATAATAATAAACATAATAATCATAATAATAATAATAATAGTAATAATCATAATAATCATAATCATAAATATAATCATAATAATCATAGTAATAGTAATATCAATCATAATCAAAATAATCATAATAATTAATAATCATAACAATCATAATAATCATAATAATAGTTATCATAATAATCATAATAATAATCATAATAATCATAATCGTCATCATAATAATAAATATAATAATAATCATAATAGTAATCATTATAATCATTATAATCATAATAGTCATAATAATAAACATAACAATCATAATAATCATGATAATCATAATCATAATAATCATAATAGTAACAATAATAATATTAATAATCATAATAATCATAATAATCATAATAATCATAATAATAATCATAATAAATTGATTCCAAGTGAAGTTATTACAAAAACGGAATTACAAATTAAGAATTATTATACGAAAACGGAATTGCTTTGGGGTTTTTCGAGTCTCTAAATTTGATCACCCATATACTCATAAAATTTGACGGCAGCTTGAAATGCTGGTTTCATCGAAATTAAATCATAACATCAACTTTCCCGCTCGCGTCTGATTAAGGAAATAAATTTCCTAGTGCATACCTTTCAAACTTAGATTGGTTTCAGATTCAGACCTCTATTCTACATTTGTGTGGCTCTTGGTTCTCTTTTTGCTCCTCTGGTCTACCTGAGCGACTTTTTAGCCAACTGCAAAGACGTCACGTGACACTGACTTTGACACAATTAAAATGAATAATGAGCGAAATAAAAAAATTTGTAGCGGGAGGAGGGCGGGGGCTTGGATAATTAAGACAATTTAAAAATTCATTTATCGATTTGACACGTCGACTAAAGTGATTTGGCAATCACTTCTGAAACTCCTGTATAAAAATTATGTGTTAAATTTTATTTTAATGAAAAAAAAATCTGAGCCGCAGGAAACTTTTGCGAAAGATAAAGATGTCGTTTTTGATAACAAAAATCTTGTTTTTATTGGTACCAGCAACAATTTAAAAATCATGTACTTTGGCACCAAAAACAATTAAGTAATTTTGGATTCGATGGCTAATACGGAGTGTGGTAAAATGAGATTCGGAGTAAAGAATTTTTGAATTCTTGGGAGAGAGGGGACCGTCTCTGAATGTTTGAGACCATTTAGAAAAATAGAGAGGGTAGGCACAGATAATCAAATTTTTCAAGAATGCTCAAGAAAAAGAAAGATATTGCCAGAAGCTAGGGTGAAATATAAAAAACGGAGCCAACAGACAGTTGGAAAAGAGCACGCAATTAAACAGAAAAAAACTAATTTGTCTTTAGAAAAAATCTCATTTTCGAATCTCAAAGAAAAATTAGAAGCCCTGGAAGCGCTTTAAATTTTTAGAACAATTTGAAAAAACTGAATCAATAGCTAAATTTCATATTTCGCTGGGAAATCTGAAAACTAAATTCCACTCTTGAAACTAGAAGTCGATCACATTTTTTTTGTAATCATACTTTTTTGCTGTTCGATAGTGGAGTTTGCCTTCCTTTTAATAATAGAAATGAACTGGATTTTAAAAAATCAAACCTCGAAAAAGTGAAATTGAGCCTTCATCGAACGTTTGTCGACTCTAAAAAAAATTAGCTCTTTTTAACTCAAAAATTGTCGTGAAAGAAACAAACTTCAAAAACAAAGCTGCGGAAATTGCGGGTTTAAAAAGCTAATCTTGAATTAATGAGTTTACCCTAACTAAGTATCTATAGTTTGGATTGCTTAAGTGATGCATAAATCTCTCGATGAAACTGCTCCAAGAAACTTTTCAAATTATTCAGCGGTAAAAAATTATTTTACAGAGCCAACCAATCGAAACTATTACGAGGCCAAATTGTGTGGCTAGCAACCAATAAGCATGCAATACGGATAGCAAAGCTATTTTTTTTGTTATAGTGTTTGATCTTGCTTAGTGTCGTCTTTGGTATGGCATTGCTATTTTTTTTTCGGTCTTGCTGTTGTACAATCATCGGCATCGGACAATGGCTTAAACTTGTATTGCTCCAAAATGCTCCAAAAACAGTTGAATGTGCGAAATTTGGAAAAATTTTGCGAAACTTAGAACAATAAATAGTAAGATGAGCAGAGGAATACGGTGTCGCGGAATCCGCATTTTGTCAATGGAATCCGCAAATTTAAATCCTATTACAAGTTCAGAATCACGAACAACTTGCAAAATTAATCCTCGCTCATTCGGCGACATGAAGAAAAAGCCAAATTTTAAGATATATAAATTTTTTTGGATTCCGAAACATCTAGCAACATGTTTAAATATCTGCTCCGAAATCTAGATTGCTACATGCAACAATTGTTGCACGTATCCTGAACAAAGTTTGGCCTTAGATTGACCCATGAAACAAAAATAAAAGAATGACGCTGAACAACAATTAATAAGTTACAATGTTGCTTCTTATTTGAGAAAAAAGAGTCAAAATTGATTTACCACATCGCTGTTTCCTCTTAGAAGTCAAGAATAATCATAGCATCTTTTCAATTAAACATAAGGTAAATGGTTCAGTTTTTTTAAATAAATATTTGGTGTCAAATCAATTGCTTTCGAAACTATAGCACTCAAATGAAACGTTTAAACCCTATGATCTTTGAACAAATTGCTCTTAGTTTGCAGGCTATGCGAGATTTTCAATGATTCGACTTAAAAACGTTTCGAAGTTTTTTATGGGTTTTGTCTACAATTCGAAACAGAATTTGTTTATGTCTCAGTCAAACGCAAGATACAAGAGTTTGTTCTACTGCGGTTTTAGACAACGAGTTGCAGGAAAACCGTCCATATTATTAAAACTATTATGATTATTATTTTGATTATGATTATGATTATTATGATTATTATTATTACTATTATCAATAAGAACTCCACGGGAGAGTACGTGAAGGTTCATCGACCCTCTGAGATGATTTTCAAGTTGGTAAGTTTCTTATTATATTTCTGCAGTTGTACTGTACACAGCCACAATGCATTTTGCAAGTGCAGGTAACATTTTCATCCAAATATAAAGTGAAATATCTTCAAAACCAAAAAAGAAGGCCTTTCTTGAGAGAAGCAGTATCTGTAAGGCCAACATAACTTGGTGCTAAATTTGCAAATTGAGTCGAACGAAACCAGAAGTACTGTTCACATAGCTTCAACTTTGGGCGTTGTACCTGAAACAAACTAGAAGCAGCAGACAATGTTATGAAAGATTTTCCATAAGTGAATAACTGACCGCTTTAGCAGTAAAATCGAAACCGTAGGACCCATTCATTGGTTTGGATAATAATAAAAAATCTAGCATTTGAAAATAATATGGTGCTGGTAAAATATGGAGGCACACCACTGGTTACAACAATTAACTTTGACCAGTAAGTTCCAACTTTGACACCTTGTTTGCGACCGCTAAGATTAGACCTTAACAAGTTTAATAGCTTGCTTCTGACAACAAAATCAGAAAGTTTTGAAGTAAAATTCCATGGTACACATTGTCAAAAGCCTTCTCAAAGTCGGTATAAACAACTCTTTCCGCTGTTGAATTGCTGAATAAATTTCTTCTAATTAATCTAAAATTTCAAATAAACTGGAGCGTTTTTTCCTAAAACCAAACATAGAAATATGAAAAAAGGTGCAAAAATCATACAGTAATAAAAATAAACATCGCTCAAGTATTTTTGAAGGTACTGATAGGCAATAGCCTGGTCGATAGTTTTCTACTGTAATTTTGCTGCCCTTTTTACGTATTCGAGAAATTTTTTAAAATTTCCATGTTTCTGGATATGTTGAAGATTGCTTAATTTTTTAAAATAATTGATAATAGTGAACGACAGATTGTTTTAGCTTATTTAAAGAATAAATAGGTGGAAGGTAATCCGGACCACGGTCTTTTTAATATCTAGGTTTAAACAAAATTCCATAATCAAGGACTCGTTGATAATAAATTGATCTATAGTTGGACAATTTGGTATAGATTTATGGTTTATTTGATATTGAGAAGATTCGATATTGTTTTTTGCTAATAAAAATAGCAAATTACTCGGCCTTCTCGAGGTCAGTCGAGGCTTCCGCATATGTGTATCTGCCATCTGCTAGGCATTTCTCGTATTCCGTCTTGCCATTTTGAAGAGATCTTCGACAAATTATAGATGATGCAAGACACTTGGGATGTTCAGCACCATATTTTCGAGAAGTTGTTTCAAGTCGCTTGAGTAAATTCGTAGTCTCAGAAGATACCCAGGGAGAAAGTGAACGTCTGTGTTTTGCTCTGATAGGGATGATTTCTCTTATTTTTTCATTCAACCAATGATACCATTGTTCAATGAGAAATAATACATTAGACCAGCAAATGGTTGAAAACCGGATCGAATAAGAATGTTGTTTAATTTTTCAAAATCCCCAATACAACAGCTAAAACAGACATCGCGGTCTAATTTCCGACGTAAAATTCTTTCATTAATGGAAACTGTGGCTTCTATGGCAAATGGGTCTGACATACCTACATATCTAGGTTCTGTAATGGCAATGTTTCTTCAATTTCAAAATTTTTGGAAGTAATAAATAAACTTAATGAGCTTGAGTTTGTGGTGAGGAAATCAACATGTTGTTGAAAGCAGTTTTCAGCCATAACATCGAGTAAAGATGATTCTGATTCAGTTTTTGAGGAATAAGTAGTCCAGTCGACCCCATGAAAACTGAAATCGGCTGTAAAGATCAGGTGGTCATAAGTCAATTGGCGGATAAAATTGAGCATTGAATTGAATATTTCTAAAGATATATTGTGAGGACTGTCTGAAGGAGGTACATAAACGCATACGACTGTCAATGATGAGGTACCAAGATGTTTTGTGCAAATAAAACAAAAGTCCTTCAAGTCATCATAGGCTTCTACTTGAGAGGAGGTGAGATGTTTAGTAACACAAATCATCACACCTCCATGAGATGATGCCTCATTTGCCTTTGAAGGTCGATTAGATGAGTAGATGTCGTAAGAAGGAAGGAATAGTTCTTCTCTCGAGAAGTTATCCAATAACCAAGTTTCTTCTACACATGAAACTTGATATGAAGTTCATGTTATAAAATTTGAGAACTTTTGACGTCTTTCAAGTCCTAAAGACTGCGAATACTGTGAGACAGACATCGTATTTCAGTTACCGAGATCAAATGTTTGACAGGTTGTCAATTATCCACATTAACTTTTACATTGTTTTTCTTGGAAAAGTTCTATATGAAGAAATTTTGTTCATTTTGAATCAGCACCTGCATCCAACAATTCACGTCACTTTTGCAATAATTTTCGTTCCAATTCTTGTTGGTTTTTATTAAGCGACCTTTAGATGAACGACGAATAATTTTCTTCTTGAAACACTCCCTTGAATGATTGCAGCATGGAAGACCGCGCGAGCAATTTCGATGCCTTAAAATCGTTTTTCAATTTAAGCAACACAGATCTTGGATGGTTTGAGTTTTCTTTGAATTTACCCAGACTATTAATATTAACAAAATCTGATGCTTCCAGACCGATGTGACTTAAGATTTTGTTTATAGAATTTTCTTTGTGGGTGATTATGTCCATTCGACTAGCCTTTTGGCTCGGATTTGAAGGTTTAAATTCAGGGATACCCGAAATACGAACTTCACTACTTGTTGAATCTACAAAAGACGGCTTTAATGGGGTACAGAATCTTGAAGGGATAAAATAGTATTTTTAAAAGAAGTTAACTTAGCTTTGCTTAATGGAGAAGTGCGACCTTTTGCAAAGCAGTGAATAGCAACATCTCGTTGATTCATTCCCAAGCAGCCCTTGCAAATAAGGATAAGATTCAAGTTTATTTCCTTGATTTCCCTTATTGCATTTTCTGATAATCCTGTACATTGATTTGTAAGATGCATGGTCTTATCACACGCGACACAGTGGAAGATATTTGCACCATTTGTAATTCATTTCTGACATGAAGTACAGCAAACTCTCGAGTCATTTGATTTCCTGAAATTTGATAAATCTTTGCTGGACTCATCTCGTATAAGCAGTATAAGACTTTTAGGATGTTCCATACTCTTTGGCGTATTTGACCATTTATGTTTTCGGGAGCAATAAAATCGTATATCAGCAGTTTTGTAGATTTTTTAAGTGACAATCTGTTGCTTTTATGTATTGAGCTTTTCAATACCTTTGATGAATCATTAGATTGCAAGATAAAAGTAATTGGACATCAGTTCAGAATTCCCCAATATAACAATATATTGAGTTAAGTTCAAGATAAAAAAACTTCAGCAACTGACCGGCATAGAACCGCAGACAGCTTAAACTGTTTGAGGCCATCAATAAATCACATGCCCGAAACTCCCAGAAACCATTAGAGAAGCTGGATCTACTTAACAATCTCCACCCCCCCCCCCCCCACCAATGGTACCTACTTAAGAATCTCCACCCCTATAAATAAATACAGTAAAATAGCACTGAGTTTTCTATTGAGAATTCTAATTTTGCTGCATTCTGATGGGTCGAGAAATCGACCAGTTTGATCTACTTAACAATCTCCCCCTCCCCCTCCCCTTTCTTGAAACGGGTGGAGATTGTTAAGTAGATCCGAGAAACTAATTGTGAGGTGTTGCTGAGCTGAAATCTATTGCTGAAATTCTCCAAAATTTGAAATCAGAAAGAACAAAAAAATCATATACAGAATTGGAATCTCACAAAATCTTTCTGGTAAAGCAATAATCTATATACTATTCTTTTTTGCAGACTTTCCCAAAATTAACTGAATCAGGCTTTTAGATATGTGATTGAGCGCTTGTTTTTTTTTTGAATATATCACGTGACTGTTTCGAATGGAGGTGGGGGATCCCATCTGCGATGACTGTTTCTTCTACTCGCATCACGTGGCAGAGAAGTGTCTGAGATCCCTGCTGGTGGAACTGCCAGCAGTCCTCATTCCCGCCTTCTTCTTCTATTCCTACTACAAGAACACTACTCTCATCGTTCGACCGGATATCGACCTTCTTCTCAACAGGCAAGCAACCAGGCATCGATACCTACCACAATTGCATGACCACTTTTGGGGATAAAGCGAACAATTCCTCGGATCTACTTAACAATCCCCCCTATGGTACCTAATTAAGAATCTCCACCCCTATAAATAAATACAGTAAATTAGCATTGAGCTTTCTATTGAGAATTCTAATTTTGCTGCATTCTGATTGGTCGAAAAATCGACCATTTTGATCTACTTAACAATACCCCCTTGAAGGGGGTGGAGATTGTCAAGTAGAACCATTTCCTCTCCCCCTCCCAGCCCATCCCCCATTCCTTCTCCCATCCCCCTCCCCCCTCCCAAATTGAAGAAAGAGATTACTGGTTAGTTCAAATGTCTTCTTTTCTAGGAAAAAGTTTCGATTTAAAAAAAAACAATCATCCCCCCCCCCCCCCCCCCTATGTACACCCCTATGTACATTCGTACCAAGCTCTTTCCATTCGACTGAAAAACTACTAATTGATCATTTTCATCATTTACAGAGTCAGCCTGTTCTTATGGATTGGCTGGATTGTTACCACTGTACCCTACTCGCTCTTCGTCGCCTTTTTCCGGCGAGGCGATTTCTCCTACAAAGCTATTATTGACCGCTACCAGGCCAAAGAGGACAACTTCCAACCAGGAGTATACTTTGCCCACTTTTTGTTCGTGTCAGTTAAAGATCTTTTCGGCTTAGTGGCCGCTTTTATTCTGCTCGGCCTCGTGGAGCAGTTCCGAGTTCCTCTCAAGCAGGCATTCAACAAAGTATGCGTTTGCTGCAAAGTGGAAGCGGAAGGCCAGATCGAAATGACGTCCGTTCATAGAACCGAATGAAAGCGGACTATATAAACTGTTATTTCATTTTATTGGTCGCTCCAACTTAATTTCGAAATATAAAACAAAGAAAAGAAACCTTGCACCCGATTGATTTAAAAACACATATTTTCCGCATAAAACAATCACTTCCCGAAGTTTAATTGTATTTTGCTCCACTTTCCAGTGAACGAAAGTAGAACAATTATGAAATAAACAATCTGAATTCCAGCAAAATCACAAGCCTCAACAAATTTTGCATCAATTTATTTACAAAAAAAATAATTCAACTGAAGCAAGCAATTCTGCATAGGATTAGCCACAAGCATTCGCGCTCACGACGCTGACTTTAATTTCTGGGTGTTACAAACAATTTTTGTTTTAAAACAATCCAGATGGCGAACTAAACTTAAGCTGATTTGATTGCTAAATCATTTTTTTGGACTGGTTCAATGCAAAATATTTTAATGCTAACATTGGTAGCAGGAGTCGATTTGATACCATGACCTTGATAACATAATTTAGCAAGACAAACACGATTAGTCGTAAGTCCTTGTAACCAATTTAGTCATTTAGGCACTTTCTGCTTACTGGTTCTACTAATTGTGACGTGAGTCTGGAGTCTCCATAACTCCTGTCGAATAGGATTGAGACCTTTGGACAGGAAACAACCAACTAAGAATATGGGGCAATATTCAGCGAGCGAGTTCGGGAAGTCTTATATTTACTAAAAGCAAACTGAAATCCAATTTCAAGAATTTTTCTGGATATTCGTAAAACAAATACTACGATAAGGCTTGTTTGAAGAGAATCAAAGCTTTTAGAGCACACTGCTCTCTCAACATCCAAGTAGCTCTTCTAAACTACTTTGTCTGTTTTTTTTTTTAAAAATGTCCTGTATATCTTTGTCATCAATATATAGAAGTCTAAATTCCTTTGGAGATAGCACCTGAAAAATTATACACTATATCAATTTCGATATTTTTGTATTCAATTAAAGCATTAAATCAGTAATACTTTATTCATCCTAATTTGAAGCAAAAACTTGACATCTTTATCATTAAACGAAAAGAGTTATTAAATTTTGAGGATCGCCTAAAAGTCCGACGGGTTTGTACAAGATTTATACAGTTTAAATTGCTACTTTTCAACAGCTGCTTGACTACTTTTTTTAACAGATGATATAATTGCAGTTCAAAAATACATGATATATATTTTTTCTATTTTCAGATTTCAATAGGAATCATTTTTATCGAAAAAAAATATAACAATTGGTTTCTGCATTTGTAATACCTGATTCGGACTAGTTTCTATCAAGCAACCGTTTAATTGAATAGTTGAATACCATATTGAATAGTTTTATGAAGCTATTGTATTTCCAAAAAAAATATATGCTTGCAATGAAACACTTATCTAGTTACATATAGAAAAAACCAAAATTAATTGATAGTTTGTTTGAAAGGTTATTAATCAATGTGAGGACCAAAACTCGAGGTTTTCTCAATCTACCTTCTTAAGTACACTATCTACTACTGATTCCTTTTATTGTTTTTTGGAGAGATGATGTGAATTCTTGAAGTCGTTGATTTGAAAAACGCCCAGAATGAAACTATAATTTTTTTCCACAAATGCCGTATCATCTACAAAAAGTAAAAAAATGCCAGGAGAGGGTAAGCCAATGAGTCGAGCGACACAAAAAAGAGTACAAGTCTGATCCTCGAGGAACACCATGAGTCACTGATATCCATTTTGAACTAAAGGAACCAAACTTTTCATGCTTCCTTCCGCCCGTTAAGTAGTTCTTCATTGAAGCAAGAGGTAATCCGCGCACTCCATAAGGTTCCAATTTCAATAATAAGTACAAGTATTTGAATGTGTTATAAGTTTTCTTAGATAAGGCTATGGCTTTTCTTTTCAACAAGTGAGCCTTGAACTTTTAAAACTAACACTCAGTGAAGAGCAACCATCCTCAAAAACAGGGATTAACCTAATGTAAAGTACTTTTTTCAAAGAACTTACTAATTGAACTGATAAAAAAATGGGCCTATAATTATTACAGTTGTTAATTTCGCCATCCTCAAAAAGCGCCACTACCTTCGCAACTTTAAACAAGTAAAGTCGTTGACTTGTTTCGTTTCACTTCGAATAAAGAGCATAAAATACATTGTAACTATAGGCTCAATGATTTTAACAAAAACATTTGATTTACCATCAGCTGGTGAAGTTTTTTTTTAAACAATTTCAAGATAACTTCAAAAAGTTCAGAAAAGATGAAGGGCTTTGACTAAATGAATTTTTTACTAAAAAAAGGAGGGGTCGAAGTGGCTTGATTATCAGAACGCACCACTAAATTTTACTAACTGTAGCAAAAAAACTAACTCAATTTATGAACAATAGACCTAGACTCTTCCATTATTGGTTTATGGGTGTTACAATTGAACAAAATGTCTCTGAAGTTATTGAACAGCTCTTTCCCAGTTTTGACCCGTGCTAAATTATTATTACGAAACCTGTGCCTGGCTTTGCGAACAAGTTATTTCACTTTTTCTCCTGATCGTGGTATTTAATCATCAATTTTTGATTTGATGGGTTACCTCTTTGATGCTTATAAATATATACACGCTTTTTAATTTCGCTTTTTAGGCTCTCGGTCTTTCATTTTTTTTTCGTTGGGGAATACATAACATCTTCTCCTGGGGAGAGCTTACCCAGATTCTTACAAATTTTTTAAAGCAAATTTTCTAAAATTTTGTTAAAAACTAGTAAACAATTTTTAAGCCTTTCAAACTATTTTGTCAATCGGTAAAGAAACTATATGTCAGTCAAATCATTCACTGATTGAAACCTTAAGTTTTCAAACTTAAAATCAATGACCAGTGGAAGGTGATCTGAAAACTTCCATTTTTCAATTGAATCAGAAACGTGAAAAGTGCTGATAACTAGTCACGTTATAGGACTTCTTCGAAATTTTTAATGAAAAAATATTGGAATTGAACACGCTCAGGTTTGATTTATTTTGTTCTAAGTTTTTTCCTACCAAAATAAAAATCAAAAAAGTAGTTTGCTTGGTTTCAGAGAAAATTTTACACAAGATCTGAAGTTTTCTCTTTTTATATATGTTGATTCTCAGATCTAAAATTCGTTATTTCAGTTCTTCGATGAAAGCTTCAGATCCGGAATTGTTTTTTTGTTGTTGAAAGCTTCTAGTTTTTTATTAGGCGGTAAAAATTTTTGGATTTTGTTTGGTTGTTGTGTGCAGACTAATTGAAATGCCTTTTTTATTGCACAGTGAAAAATTATATTCAACTGCAGCTTCAAAAAGGTTTTTAAAAAACTTCTAGCGATTAGGAATCTACCTGTTTATTCACTTTCACCAAAGTGGTGGAGTTAAATTTATTTTGTCTTAAAGAAAAAATTTATTCCGTTTTTGAAAAAAAAACACACTTTTTTAATAACAGTTTTTTAACTGTGGCTCTTATCCACTTTCAACCACGTTAGAGTTTTTGAAAATTTCGGTTTTGAATGTTTTTATTTGTTTTCTTCTTGTAAGGAAAATTTGCAAAGTGAACAACTTAACTATTGTGAACACAGCTGTACTTCAAACTTCACTTCTTAACATCAAGCATTTATCCTTAAGAATACGCAAAACTGGTAAAAAAATTGATAAATTTTGAAGGCGGAAAAGAGCCACAACTGTCTGTTGTCATGTTTTACTTACGCTTTTGATGCATTTGACACACGCAGTTAAGTTTCGGGTACCTAAAATGAAAGCTAGATTTTGAATCACAAGTTTTTTTCAGTGTTTTTCTGAACTTTTTTTCCACCTTAAAACTTTCTCAAAAATGCGGAAAATCAAAAGAAAGTTTTAAAAATTAAAAAATCCACGTTCACTTAATGACTTGAAAGCTTTTTTAGCAAAAAAGAAGCCATTAAAAAGATATAGGGACAAAAAATCGATAATTGCTGTGGGCAAAAAGTTTTTCAAGGTTCATTAAATGGCTGTTTTCCACATCTCCCCAATTTGAAGTTTCTTTTTTGAATTGGTTTTTACGTGCTAGTATGACAAAATACGTCATGATTGATTCAAAGAGAGTTTAATTGTAAAAAATAATCTGGCAACTGTTTTTTTTCGCTTTATTAAACTTAAGAGCAAGAACTTGCGGAGTTAAAAAGTGACAAAAAATCTGATGATTTTGAATAATTGGTTAAATGCGAATGAATTGGCAGTGAATTGATCTTAAGCAAAACAAGTGCCCGTTAATTTCAGTGCGTCCAATTGTAATTTCAAAGTGATTTTGGACAATGTAACTGTTAACCCTGCCTGCAAGTATCTTGGTGTTTTCATTGACAGTAAACTATTGTTTATCAGTCACAATGGCTTTGTTAAAATGAGACTTGAAAAACAATGTGGTATAGCATTGAAGTTCAAAAACTATGTACTCAGGCGCCAATTACTAGACTACTACCGTAAAAAAATCCCTCTTCCGAAAATTGGTGATCTAGTTTATGGGTTATGGCGGTTTCACCGTTTCAAACCCAGTTTTTATTTGACAAAAGAAAACAAAATTAATTTTTCTTTTTGAGAAAACGGTATAATCATTCTGGTGGCATTTTTGAAAAAAATAATAAACTAGCGACTGTTTTTGATTGTCTCGTCTATGATTTTTTGAAATTTGAAATCAAGTCTACGTACAAAGTACGTGGCGAGCTCGCTTTGAACGATATGTTTATTTTTCAAAGTTCACTCAAAGCCACAAGGAGGCCTGATGTTAATTTGCTCTCCAAACCTTTTTGCGAAAAAACGGAAAAAAAACCTGGATAATTTAGAGCATGAAAATTTAATATAACACTTAAAATCTTGAAGTTATTGCCGGCGGGAATTGGAAGTAGTTCTTTGAAGGAAAAATCACGTTTTTAGCATGGTTTTAAAACCTCATTTTTAATTCAAACTTTCAAAGTGGTAAAAAAAAAGGTTTGTAGGTTTTAAATATTAAAAAGCTGAACCCATTGCATTGATACTG